GCTGGCCTCAAACTCACAAAGATCTGCCTGTCTCTGCCTCCAGCGTGCTGGGATTAACGGCATGCACAATTTTAATACATTTTCAATAGTAAACCATCTGGATGATGCAGCCAGGAATTCACTTTGTGCAGAGGGGGACATCTCAGTGGCTAAGAGCCCCTGGTATGCAGGAGGCAGGAGGACATGCCTTCAAATATCTATCATGCATGTTAAAACTGGGCATGACTAACCCAAAAGTTGTAGGCTACATAGACAGTAGGATCACCGGGCCTTATTGCTTACAGGCCTAGCTCCAGGTTTGGTGAGAGGGAATATGATGAAGCATGATAGACAGATCTTCCTCTAGCTCAGTATGTGTATATAGGTATATGATAGATATATGTGCATAACACACACACACACACACACACACACACATACACACACACACACACACACAGAGACAAACCTTGCTACCCCAACCCCAGCAACAAGAAAAAGGATTTCTTTGTTTTACTGCAGTGGGTGACCGTGTGGGTACCCTTTCTTTCTTCTCCCCTGCAGAGCATAGGAGTTTGGACTTCATTTCCCTTCCCTCTCTTTCCAGAACTAATCTTCCGACAGTATCTAGAAGGTTCAACTGACCTAAGTGACGATCCCAATCTTCCAAGGACATCTGCATTCTAATCAGATTTGATGTTCTTCCAGCAGTGGCATCTACAGCCTATGTCTTGTCTCATTTGTCAGTTGTCCACCAGCACTAGTGATTTTAAAGCTAACACAGAATGTTGAGACCATGCCTGGGCTCCATTTTACTTGCACAATTTACAATTTGTTTATGTCAACATATGACACAGATTATAGAACGGGTATTCTTTATAAGTGGCTTGGAAGGGATGTTCTCCCTTCATTGGGTGCAGTTTTTCATATGTCAAGGCTTACTTCGATATACAGAGGCTAACTGAGCAAATCTTTCTAGCCAAAGATCTGATGGTTCTTGAAACTGCCTAAGTCCATATTCTCTCGACATGCTTAATTGTTTTTGTCAAAATGATGGGGCATATTGAAAGTGGAGTTACTGTAACTTAGGTATGACAATGTTAGTAAATTTAAGAAAACACTAAAGTCCAATAGAATCATAAGCTACCAGGAAGCTCCCAAGCAACATTGTTTTACCACCTCTGTGGGAGTACTTAGGAGTTTATGTACATAAATGAGCAGTCTGCAGTAGTTGTTTGTGGCTAGAATCCCCTGCAAGAGGTTAATGACTACCAAGTTACAAATGTGTGCTCAAATTGTTTGATCAGAAAATCCTTACATACTCACCAGTTATTACTGTGAATGCTGCAATCCAATCCTCTGTCTTACTTCAGAAGGGGCAGCTGTGAGTGACACCACCTGGAAGGAACCAGGCAAGCCTGTGCATGCTTTCCACCTCAAGAGGCCCTGCGAGCTGACAGGTACCTGCTAACTTTAGCCCAGATGACTTTGTCTTTTCTCAAAGTAGTTTTTAAGGGCAGTTAAGGAAAATGTACATGTTTTACTATTAACATAAGCACGATATTTCAGTCTAGTAAAACGTAACAGCAAATGTGGTAAGATAGAATAAATATTAATGAATTGTTAACATATATGTATAGCCATGCATGTATATATACCAAGAAATATGTAGATACATATGTAAAAAGGAAATAAAATTCAACAAAGTTGAGAGGTGAAGGAAAAGGCAAAGATTTGATTGTAAAGAACATGTGAAAGTCTTTAATATACCAATAATTTAAGAATATTTTAAAGTCTGCATATAGAGACAAAGCTAGAAAGATAACAATATATTTACTTTATTACAGTTAGGTTTTCTATAGTAACTCAGTAGAAGTAGGGAAATACCAATAAAAGTACTTCAATTTTTAGTTTTAAAATTTTCAGTAACAGTGAATTAGTACTCACATACAGATGAATTTATTAATATCAAGTTAGTTCATTGTTAAAATTGCTGAATTTGGGAAGATAATGACTAAAACAGAAAGCCTTAATAGTTCATAAAGGTAAGCAATGATACTGTGGAATTAGGTCTGCTTTGTACCCTACCTCTCAAAGTTACTGGAACAAAAAAGAAAGAGTGGTATTGCTATTGACAAGCTAAAATTTTCTGATGATGGTTGGTTAAAATTTTTCTTATAGGTTTCTTAAAATTTAAAATGAAATTGTTTACAAAAGTAATAGTTGTCATTCTAAGTAGTACAACTTTATTCAAGATTGGATAATTTTTTAATGAATAATTGCATTTATTTATTTTTGCATTTCTCTCTTTTTTATTTTTATTTTTCTCTCATAGATTACTTACAGACCCCCAGCTTTCTTGCCTCCTATCTCTCCAGTTTTTTCCCTGGACCTCCTCTTTCCCACAGATCCAACCACCTTAGTCTCCTATGAAAAGAGCAGGCCTCCCAAGTAGCATAAGAAGCTATAATAAGACCAGGCACATGCTATGACATCAAGGCTGGCCAAAGCAACCCAATAGGAGGAAAGGGGTCCCACAAGCAAGCAAAAGAGTCAGAGACAGCCCCTACTCCAACTATTAAGAATTTCATAAGAACACCAAGCTGCTAAGTCAAAACACATATGCAGAGGACCTAGGTTAGATCCCTATGAGGTCCCTGATCTCTGGGAGCCCCTGTGAGTCCCAGTCAGTTGATTCTGTGGGCTGTGTTCTTGTCATGTCCCTGACCCTGCTGGTTTCTCAGATCCTTCCACCCCTTCTGCAGGACTCCTGTACTCTGCTAATGTTTGTCTGTGGGACTCTGCATTTGCTCCTGTCAGTTGCTGGATGGCTGGGTGAAGTCTCTCTGGTCCCTTTGATGAGGACTCTGCTAGGCTCTGGTCCCAGAACACTTACCAGGCAGGATAGACTATAGGTCAATGGTTTTGTGACTGAGTTGATGTACCAATCCATCTACTTGAGGCCTTGCCTAGTCACAGAAGATGGCCTGGTCATGCTCCATGTCCCCCATTAGGAGTCTTTTCTTGGGTTACTCTTGTGGATTCTAAGTTTTCATTGCACTAGGTTTCTAATTTATCCTCTAATTGCCCCCCAATTCCAGTAGTTTCTTCCACTGTTTTCTCCTTCCCCCAACCTGATCCCTCCTGTTCCCAACTTCATCTACCCCTAATCTACTGTGAAATCTATTTCTCCTTCCCAGCAAGATCCAAAGATCCATCCCACACACACATGCTTAAACCCTCCTTGTTACTTAGCCTCTCTAGGTCTGTGGACAGCATGATTACCTTTTACTTTACAGCTAATATTCACTTAAAAGTGAGTACATACCATGTTTGTCTTTCTGGGTCTGGGTTACCTCACTCAGGATGACTTTTTTCCTAGCTCCATCCATTTGCCTGCAAATTTCATGATACCATTGTTTTTAACAGCTGAGTAATAAATCCTCCATTGTGTAAATATACTACATTTTGTTTACCTATTTTTCAATTGAGGGACATCTACATTGTTTCCAGTTTCTGGCTATTATGAATAAAGTTGCTGTGAACATAGTTGAGCAAGTATCCTTGTGACAGGATGGAATGACCTTTGAGTTTATGCCCAGGAGTGGTATAGTTCTGAGGTAGATTGATCCCCAATTTTCTGAGAAACCACCATATTGTTTCCAAAGTGCCTGTACAAGTTTTTACTCTCACCAGCTATGGAGGAGTGTTCCCCTTGCTCTACACCATTTAAAGCCTGAGCTCTAATTTGTTTTTGATCTTAGCCATTCTGAGAGGTTAAGATGGTATCTCAGAGTCATTTGGATTTGCATTTCCCTGATGGCTAAAGATATTGAACAATTCTTTAAGTGTTTCTTGCCCACTTGAGGTTCCTCTGTTGAAACTTCTAGATTTGTGTACCATTTTTTAATTGGTGTATTTAGTTTGTTGATGTCTATTTTTTTGAATTCTTCATATATTTTAGAAATTAGCCCTCTGTCAGATGTGGAGTTGGTGAAACTTTTTTCCCATTCTGTAGGCTGCTGTTTTATATTGATGATGTTCTTTGCTTCTCAGTTTCATGAGGTCTCATTTATTAATTGTTAATCTCAATGCTATTGGTGTTCTATTCAGGAAGTTGTCTCTTGTGCCAATGCATTCAGGAGTAGACCCCATTTTCTCTTCTATCAGGTTCAGTGTATCTGGTTTTATGTTGAGGTCTTTGATCCTCTTAGACTTGAGTTTTGTGCTAGTTGATAAATTGGAACAATTTGCATTCTTCTACATACTAACATCCAATTAGACCAGCACCATTTGTTGTAGATGCTTTGTTTTTTCCTGTGTATATTCTAGACTCATTATCAAAAGTCAGATGTCCATACGTGAATGGATTTATATCTGTGTCTTCAATGTGATTCCATTGATGAATGTTTTTATACAAATACTATGAAGTGTTAATTGTTTTTAATATTTAAAATTTTTGTGCAATAAATAAATAAATGAAATATTTCTGGATAATTTGAAATATTTTCCTTTCATTGCATTGAAGAGAATATTTATATTATCACCTTTGAAAGGACTTTGTCTCACTACACAGACACCAGTGACACCAATCCATAACTGAGCAAATGGTCTCTCTTCTGTCTCCCTGCCATTTTGCTTATCTGTCCAGTCAACATTCATGTTAAGTAAGTATGTGTTATACTTTAGATCACTTTAGACTAATCTGTGGAAAAGGAATCCAGAGCCTGATTGTGATTACTTTTAGTTTAAAACTTTGTCATAAATAAAATCTTTATCATTCAGGCATTCTAATTTCTACAACTGTGAAATGCTGTTTATATTTTGTAAGTTAAGGCTAAGAGGCAAATCTCTCAGTTGGAGCTACAATAGCAAAGCAGAAAAGATTCCTGCCATAGGTGAGGGGCTTCTCATCAGCAATCTTTGCCTTTTCAAAAACAAACTTTTACATACTCTTCCTAGCTTCAATATGTCCCAGGTTCTTACAGGATTCTATGTCTCTGTCTTTCTCTCTCCCTCCTCTCTCTCTCTCTCTCTCTCTCTCTCTCTCTCTCTCTCTCTCTCTCTCTGTCTGTCTGGGAAGTTCTGCAGACATTTCGAACAGAAGCAGCTGAGTCACAGGACATTACCTAGGGATTAATGCTTGGAAGAGTTGATGGCCCGAAACCAAGGCTGTTGGTGCCATTATAAATTGAAAAGAGAGACTGAGCGAGGGAGGAGGGCCACAAGCTGCAGGCACAAATTTTATGGGTGTACTAACTTCATTTGGAAGACTCAGAGTATTTCTAAGCAATTAGTGCCCTCCCTATCAACCCATAATATTTCTTTCTCATTTTAAACACTACTTTTAAGCTGTTAATTGCATAATTACTTAAGAGTGGTTTACTGTGCCTGAGGATAGGCAGCCTGTGATAGTGTGGTGAGGTGCAGATGGGGAAGTGCATGGTGGCTGTCAATCAACAGTGCCTGCCTTTGTAGTACACTAAGAAGGAATTGTAAAGACAGCTATCGCAAAGCAGGGGGAAATATATAGGGATGTTTAGAGAGGGATATTAATACTTTCAGAATCTCTTAGCAGCCCTAAGACCAAAACAACAACAACAACAACAACAAATCATTTGCTTCAATTTCAGTTCCAAAACAGTGTTTCTTTGTGATGCATATATAACATCAGTAGCATATTAATCCTAAAGATCATAGTTGCCTAATGTTAAACATTTTAAATTTAAGTTTATGTGTATAGGTGCTTTTCCTGCATGTGTGCTTGTAGCCTGCATGCCATGTGCACTCTTGGTACCTGTGGAGGACAGAAGAGGGCATCCAATCCCCTGGACCCAGAGTTACAGATGGGTGTGAGCTGCCATATTTGTGCTGGGAATCAAACCCCATTCCTAAGAGTAACCAGAGTCCTTCCCCGCTGTACCACCTCCGCAGGCCCTAATGTTAATTTTTTTACAAATTGTCCCTAGCTGAGGATTTGTGTCTGATAGTTTAGTTGTTGATGACTTGACTGTATGTGACATCGATGTACTTTGTATTTGAAAAAAATTATGAAAATAAGTTCAGCTCTTTAGTTTATTTGGCCCTCTTCATTTTCCTGAGAAATATTTCATCTAAACCTACATCTGTGCTAATAAAAGACAACATCTGTAAAATAAAAATGAGGAAATTGATTGCTTAGGGCTTCCAACTGAAAAATTATTATATGTTAGGTGTCAATCTAAATTAATCGGTAATTTAGTTTAACTGTATTTTTAGCTTCATAAGTAGGGGAATTATTCATAGTATTCATTTTTATTTTTTGTAAGTCAAACTCAATTCGAAAACCTTTACATTTATTGTGGCTTTTATTTTATGGATAAAATCCTAAAAACAAACTTAAAAATCTAGGAATTGGGGTTTACCTAAAATCAAATTATGGTATGAATAAAATAGCTTCAAGAACCAGATTTTCCCATTTTATAGTACAAAGCATAAATACTAGCCAGTGTTTACAAAATAATAAAAATGAAATAAAACAGTTTGGGGGATTTAGAGGTTTTATATCATCAATATGATTGTGATAGACTATTTCACAAACTATATTTGAAAGGAATTAACATGTTAGTAAGGGTAGCAAGATAATAAGAAATAAGATCCAGAAGCCTTGTTTTTAATGAAAGGAATTTTAATTCCACCTACATCACTATAGAATTAGTTTTGAAGTAAATCTTATTTGCATATGATTTTGTAATATGTATAATCAAAGACAGCTAGAAGAGAGAACGGTGGAATTCTTAGTGTCTTCAAGATCTGATTTACCACTGGAAAGCTATCAGTCTGAAACTTATCTCTCTGAAAATTTAGTTGATATGACTATTTAACATTTTAAAAGTTAATCACAGTTTTACTTGTTATTTTTTATTTTCGAGATTATACTGTAATCACATTTCTCCCTCCTCTTTCCTCCCTCTAAACCATCTAAAAACACCCTTCCCGCTCACCTTCAAATTATGACCACTTTTTTCACCAATTGTTATTGAATAAATATATGTTTATGTAGACACACACATTTCTAAATAAAATCTGTTCAATCTGTATAATGTTACTCGTATGTGTGTTTTCAGGACTGACCTTTGGGCACTGGACAGCCAATTAGTATATTCTTCTCTGGAGAGATCCACTTCTCCCAGATTTTCTTAGAGTATAAATCTCAGTTTCAATGTTGAACAGTGCATTCTTACACACATAGACATTTACACATGATACATACATGTTCTCATAATCTAGTACTCTGAACCTATGACCCTGGTATTTAATGCTATAGAACAATGATTTATTAAGCTCATCAAATTCAGTTAATGTCAAGAGTTCAGTCAAAGGTTTCTTCATGTCTGATGCCAGAAGTTTTATTTGGCAGAATTTGATGCTTGGAAAGGATTTAAGTCTGGTGGCTAGAATGGTAAAGAGGTTTTCTCATTTCTATGTCTGGCAGATGGTCCAGGACAGACCGGACAGACCGGCCTCCGCCTACACACTACACTGCATGGGCTATTTCCTATTAGCAGCATCTCTTGCGAATGGTTGGCTTCAAAGTGTGGTCAACATACAACTGCCACAGGAGGCTATGCCTAGAAATAATGAGCATCCCTAGAGAGCAAGGCGGTGCCCAGTCAGTCATGGAAGTCACATGTCATTTTCTCCATGACATTTTGCTGTAATAAGACACTATGACTTGTCTAGATTCTCTATTAGTTGAGTTACACTCCATTTCCTGTTGGAGGAGAGAAAAGTTCACACTTGGGAAAAAAATATGATATAGGAGGTAATGTTGCTATCATTGCGGGCTTCCCTCTACATGTTTCCTGATCCACTTATTTTCTTTTGTGCTACTTAGATCCACATTACTTATCAAGTCTTCGTGAGTGTTTTCTCTATAGAGTAATATTTAGGTCACATATTGATAATATATATATATATATATATATATATATATATATATCAGACATCTAAAATGGTTAATCATTTTTAAGAGGCAGTTAACTATGCTGATGTCCCACCCTTACGCCTGAACTCTCACAGGCCTCTCATTTTGATAGCAGAGATCTTGTTAACTAGTACTGGTACAGGAAAATTTATTCTGAAGAAAACCTTGGTTGAGATCCCATAATATTTTTAAAGTAAAATGAAATTATGTTAAAACCTAGAACAATCCCTTGTAAAACATGAGGAGAACAATCCTGAACTCAGGAAAGTCTCAGGAAATTCCAGATGAGTGAGACAAGGGTCACGGCTTCCCTCTGGTTGAGGAGCTGGTCCACTGGCTCATTATGGAAACTCACTGTCTTTTTTTTTTAATAGAATAAATTTATTTATTATTTATTTTTATTTAAATTTTTTATTCATTTTACATATCAACCACAGATCCCCCTCTCATCCCTCTATCCACTCCCCCAAACCTGCCCTAATTCCCCTGGATCCATCCCTTAACCCCTCCTCTGAAAGGATTAATTTTCCCATGGGGGACAGCAAAGCCTGGTACATCCAGTTGAGGCAGGACCAAGCCCCTCCCCTCTGCCTCAAGGCTGAGCAAGGTGTCCGACCATGGGTAATGGGATCCAGAAAGCCAGCTCATGCATCAGGAATAGATCCTGATCACACTGCCATGGGCCCCTCAAACAGATCCAGCTACATAACTATATGTAGAGAGTCTAATCTGGCCCCATGCAGGTTCCACAGCTGTCAGTCTAAAGTTCGTGAGTTCCTACGAGCTTGGATCAGTTGTCTCTGTAAATGTCGCCATCATGATCTTGACTGGCCTTGCTCATACAATCCCTCTTTTCTCTCTTCAACTGGACTCCTGGAGCTCGGCCTGATGCTTGGTCATGGATCACCAAGATAGATCAGTTCAGTCACCCTCTCCACTATTGCTAGCAGTGTAATCTGGGGTCATCCTTGTGGATTTCTGGGAATTTCCCTAGCACCAGGTTTCTCCCGTACCCCACAATGTCTCCCTCTATCAAGATGTCTCTTTCACTGCTCTCCCCCTCCATCCCTTCCCCAGCTTGACCATCCAGTTTCCTCATGTTCTCATCCCCATTCCTTCCCTTCTGTAGTGCCCCACCTCCCACCACCTTCTTGGTTAAATTGAGTTGATTTACTATAATACTTGTCTGCGATTTGCAGATATTCATATTTGCAACTCCAATCTAGTATGTCATGTTCAAATTCTTGCACTGGATTCTCAAGGCTCAGTAATGGTTGGCCACAATTAGGAGCCCTATATTCTCTTACATTATATCTAGAATAGCATGGAGACAACAATCTCAGTCTCACACTTGGTCTAGCTCCATTCATTCTGCACTATAAATCAGTGTTCTTTTCATTTATTGCTGTATGTGTAATGTCTGTCTTTTGTCCTTTATCTTGAAGAGCACCCATTTTTCAATCCTTTGTGACTCTACCTCCAACAAGAACCACCCACAGTGCCAGGCCTGAATTAGTCATTGTTACCTTGTGTTGATATGCAAGCATATTGTAGTTAGTCATATCTTACTCCACTAGCTAGATTCCGGATCTGAAAGTGAAGCCGGCCACTCCACCTAGAAAAATCCCTCTAGAAGGACCTGTTCAAAGTTCGTGTTAAAGATATCAAAACACAAAAGACCAACACAAGATTAATGAAAATAAAAAGAATTTTTTTTCTAGGATTAGAAAAAGCCATTAGTTGTATGCAAACTTTAACATATAGCATGCTGAACCTGTGTTGGAAGATCTTTCTTCAAAGAATCAGATCACCAAACTAAATCCGTGGACAATTCAAGAACTTGTTAGAATTCTGTACCATTGTCAGTTTGATATAATTCCTGTTGTTAGTTCAAATGAGTCTGGCACTTAGCTGTGAGTTTTCTGTCTCTTTTTGACCATAGCCAGAGTTGACCAGAGCTGGAGAGACAATCTGTGAGCATGGATGATAGGATTTGAATGTAAGAAAGAAGAGTGGAGAATGTAAAAAAGGAGTCAAGGTGAAGGAAAAGTCACTAGCCTGGTGGCTAGTTCCAGTACTCTCATCTCAGATTAAGTGACCCATGGCATCTTTTCCTCTTTTAACACATGGCATGTTTGGGATTTCAGATTTAAATAAATGAAGCCCCTTTTAGAGAAGCTGGAAGGATTTGCTATTACTGTTGAAAAGTTTTCATTTAGCTGCAAGCACATGGATGCACAAATCCAAAGCTTTTACTAAAGCATGTACAGAAGAATTTTGACATAAATAATTCATGTTTAGAAGACCCAGGTTAATGAAGCTCAAAATGCTAGTAGTAGAAAAGTTCTTTTAACAGAAGCAGGTGAGGTGGTTAGTGCCTGGAACCACAGTGTCTTGGAATCAGAAGTAGCTTTTGTAGAAAAAGAGAAATTGAGTCCCAGTGAAATTCCACAGCTTTCTTAAGGACCCAGATGAGCAGTGAGAATTTTTAGTTTTGATTTGTTAAATTGATGCATTGTTTTGATCTGTTTCTTATAAAAAGTAGTTCATCTTTATTTAACAAAAAAGAAAAAAAAAACAAGACCAAGACAATGTAGTGCTTTAATTGCTTAAATAAAAATTCATTATTAAATCACACTTAAACTTCTTAAATTTGGAATGTATTTCTTGCTTTTGCTCTTGATAGAGCTGAGGTTCAGGTCCAGGGCCTCTCATATACAAAGCAGCACTCTGTCACTGAACTACAGTCACTTTCAAACTGTAAGTTTTGATACTTCATATGTAATTTTATCTCTTTTCATAGCTCTAATAAATGAAGATGGTTTTCGTTTGAAGAAAAATATAGATATTGTTCAAGGAAAGGAATCACAGGGGCCTTCACATCAGGTGAGTAATGAGAATCATTGATATTCACATTGTTTGTGAAAACCATTTTATTATCGAGCTCCACAATATGGTGAGTATAGTGCGCAGTACTTAGCTGGGGAGCTGTTTTGTATTTTGATGTTCCTTTTTTTGTTTTTTGTTTTTTAACCTTTTCTTTTTTAATTGCTAAGTTCATGTCTCTGGGAATTGGGATACAAATGAAAAAGAAAATCAAATGTTACCTTGAGATAATAAACCTGAAAGCACCATGCCCAACAGGCTTTTGCCAAGTAACTCTGGGCCTATTGAATTAACACTCAGGGGTGTTCTGATGAGACCTGCTTTAACTGCTTCGAACTCTTTGGCATCCTCCAGTATGGGGTACATGCCTTTTTGTGTTCACATCTGACATGAACACATCTGCTGTGACTTCTGATTTAGCCCTTTGAAAAGTGCTTTGATTAACACAAGAATTCAAGCAATTAAGGGTGTCTAAATGTTGAGTCTCCCTAATAACAGTATTAGTAACAGCCAAGTAATTGCTATTCATTCTATAATAAGGAAAAGTGTATGAGTCTATGCATCAGTAGGGTTAACTCAGACATCAGGATGATTTTTTGATATTTTCCTGACAGCCTTGGACCCCTTTTTAATCATTGTGAGTGATAGTTTTATTAAAAATTTTAGAAGTGGCCTGGGTTGGTGCTGTAGATAGATCAATAGGCACGGATATATGGCGTGGGAGTTGTAAAGGGCTGATTTGGTGAGGAATGAAAGCTCTCTTTCCAAAGCCAATCTTATTTCTTAGGCAATTAGAAGCCCTCCATTGAACTAAACAGTGGAGCACAGCTTTCGGTCAGCTAAAGCTTCAGATCGTTGTTCTGATTCTGCTGGGCTGAGTGGATTATACTCTGAGGCTTGCCAACACATTCTGGGAGCACCCGTCTTCTGGTGGCTTCACCCCAAAGTGTCCGGCTGAGACTGCTGAAATCCAAGCATTCTCTGCATCTTAGTTTGGCTCCGAAACCCCTATGTGACTTTGGGTAATTTATTGGATGCTTTCTGCCTTGGTTTTCATCACTGTAAAATGGTCCATAAAGGACCCTGCATCCCAGGGCTGTCACAAAGATGAAGTGGGATACTTCACCAAAGCACTTAGCTTCATGGCTGGCGTTTCGTTGACGCTTGGGAAAAATATAGTTGTTGTCGTTTCTTCTCTTTTCCCCTCCTCTGCTTCTCCCTCCCTCTGCTGTTGGTGCTCCATGACGACACTTGCAGAAGCCCTGTTGGTAGATTGCCTCTGGGATCTGCAGCCCCACCTTCCTAATATCAGATGAAGATTCCAATATAGTATACGTGAAACACTGTCCACCCGTCAGAAAGAAATAATGGCTGCCTCACAGGAAGAGCTGTGTGACCCAGATGTGCCGCGTGAGCCAAGAGAGATCTTTCTTTTGGATTTTAGCAATGTCTGTTAGAAAGGACAAAACAGTATAGGAAGTTCCTAGAAGAGACTGCTGAGAAGTAAAGCTTCGTTCTCCTACCAGTGTCTCCGGGGGCTTCCGTTAGCTAAGATGTGCTGCTGTAGAACGGTGATCTTTCACCTGTGCCATGTAGTTCATTGCTAAAGATGACTCGAAGGATTCCTCTCCAGCAACACATAAGCTGGCCCCATCTCATCCGGAAATACTCATTTGGAAACTTCTCTATCTTTAATAATTCTGTTCTTCCTTACAATAGACGTTCAGTTGGCCTTAAGTATGAAATATTAATCTCTAAGATAGAATGTTCTGGCTTAACAAAGGGTATTACATAAACTATTGATTTATTAACTCCTTGCCACTGAAGACAAAGATGGAGGAAGAGGATCCATTTTTAGCTGGGAAGCAAATCTGGTGTGAATGAGGATGCGCCTGCCACTGGCTAAGTTGAGGGAGCAGCGCTGACCCTGGGTCCCATCAGTGTCTCTGCAGATGGAGCCTGCCCAGGCATCCTCTGCACCAGACTCCGGTGGAGACATTTTGAAGACAAAGAACATTAAGACAGACCCTTGACAGCTTCATTGTCATGGCCTCAGCCTAGGAAGTGAGTTCTATGTGAATCTCTAGATGATGTTCTGGAGCTACACCATGAAATTCTTTGGGACTGGGACAGTTTCTGGCACTTGTTGATGAAATGGTGCCCATATGTTTTCACTGATCTAGTCTGAACTTGGTTCAGGTTTGATCTCAGAAGATAATATTGTCTCCTGGATAAGGTGAAGTTGATTGTTTTCATCATCATGGAAATTATACACATCCTTCACTTGGGGAGTAGAGGCAGAAGAATCAGGAATTCAAAGTCATATCCTGGACTACATGGGACCTATTATTAAGAAAGAAAAAGAAAGAAAGAAAGAGAGGGAGGGAGGGAGGGAGGGAAAGAGGAAGGAAGGAAGGAAAGAAAAGAAAAGAAAAAAAAACTACAAACTACCTAAAAGTAGAAGATGAACATTATTAGCAGTGCATATATATTCATATGATCATTTTGCTATCAGTAACATGAGGCAAAGTTCATAAAGTGTTAGATACATATCTACAAAAAGAGACAGACAGACAGACAGACAGACACACACACACACACACACACACACATTGAGGCAGGGTCTTACCATGTTGCAATGGCTAGTCTGGAACATTCTATACATAGGCTGGCTTGCTATACTAGGCTGGCCTCAAAACTCACAACAATCCTCTTGTGACAGCCTCCTGAGTGATAGGATTACAGGCATGGTCCATCATAAGAGACTTAAATATAAACCAGTTTCTCGAACAGAGAATTCTCAGAATGTTTGCTTCAGGTGCCCCAAATGACAGGAGGTCTCAGGATGGAAGACGTTACGAAGAACTGGGCAGCACGTGCAGAAGATGCTCTTGAGTGCTTGCTCTAGCACCTGCCGCCCAAGGAAGATGTGTGTGTTCTTGGCTTGGGACATGTTTGCTGGAGAGCCAGATTTTCCGAAGTGCTGATGGTGAGAGTTTGAAGCAAAGCAGTCTGCTCAGCTCTGCGATCATTACACCGACCATAAAGAACCCATTGGAGGGACTTGGCTCTCAGCATTTATTTTGTATCCCAGCTCGTGTTTGTTCTTCTCTGGCAGCAGTCGGTTGATGGCTCAAATCTTTTGTAGCATATTGAAAAGGGCATAAAATATGCAGTAATGCAGACTTTGGGCTAATATATTTTCAAAAATGTTGCATGCCTCATTTCTCACGTAAATTTTTAGGTTACATTCAGCCTTCAGAGCGTCATTCATATTCATGATAGAAACAAGGGATAACATTTATTACCTTCATTGCTGGTGATATTAAACACTGTCAGGCACCCCCTACTCGGGGCTGAACCAGATATTTTTTTCCCCTGAGCTGCTTTACAGGGTAAGAAATACCTCTAGGTTGATCAATTAATTAAAATTACATGTGCATGTGTATGTATGGATATATGCATGTACTTACTCCCTTGTATTGTAACTATTAAAATATTAATGATTGTAAGGTGTGTTTGCTCATGGATACAGTCATAGCACTCTGAAAGTTATGAGGTTGACAAATTTCATAAATCCAACACAGCCTGGACTACATAATAAACTAATGTCTCAAAAATATTAAGGATTAGATCACACCATACCCATATGAAGCAATTTTCCTTGAAGATGGAGATTCGGGCTGCAAGGTTAAATATTTGCATTTTTAATCTCTCTGATGGTGAGAGGTGGCCATGGACACTAGTTCTAACCAATGAAATTCCCATAAATTCCTTGGGAGGCTTTTCAAGGAGAAAAAAAAAAACCACAAAATCTCATGAAGATTAAACTGTTTGTCCTCTTTTCTGCCTGGAGTTGGGCGTGATAGCTGGTGAGTAGACAGCTATCTTGTAATTGTGAGGCCAATGCCATGGGAGAGGGATGGTGGAGCAGGCAGAGACACTGAGCTGGACCTGCTGCTGGCATTCTGGAGCAGTTGCACCAGCATGTATAGCCCCCATCTGCACTTCTGTTCATGGAACTCTAGCTCCTTACCTGCTTGCAGCCACTGTTGAGATTTTTGTTCACCAAAGCTGAACACATTCCCAACTCATCTACCTTGTCTTTAAAATGGTCACCTTTTGACAGTGTTGAAGTCTGACTGTTCCATCCATGGAATCAGAGAGGTCTGTCTCTACAGAGTGGATGGTTGAGACTTCTCTCTGATTGTGTAAACCAGACACACCTCCTGCTTCATAAGATAAAATCGTCATCTGGAGTTAGTCATTTGTTTATGAAGAGTAAAATTAAACCAATAACAGATAGAATATGGACACATGGCACATTAGCTACATTCAGTCTTAAGGGATTTCCTTGAAGCATATCATTGCTAGGAAGGGTACCACGGATCAAAGTGGGGCTGGCTCTGGTGAGCTTAACCGATGTCATTGCGCCGGGTTACTGTGGAAACCAGGGATGTGCTGTGGTGCATTAACAAGCTGTCAAAAGAGGCCTGTCAATGGATTTCATCAGGCAGACTTGAAAAGTGAAAAATCAATATGGCTGAAAGGAAAACAAAAGATGCCAAGTTACCTGTTGTTTAGATGACACCTGCAGAGGCCCAGGGTGGTCTTTAGCTGCACTGTGATAACGTGGGAGGATAATAAAGATGCTGCACATTGATCAATGCTTCTCACCCACTTGTTTATCCACTCTGTAACTGCAGGTATTGTGGTAGATATTCACTGAACATGGCAAATTAACCTAAAATGTGATAGATTAAACGCATGCCTCCCCAGGTTCTAAGAGCAGGGAATTTTGGAATGATGGCACAGGCTCTTGGGCTCTCTCCTTTGGTTCCCAAGAAGATGTAATCTGAAAAGTCATCTGGGGCTGGAGTGTTTGTTAGTAACTTCCTATCCTGGTGTAGGCAAGAGACCCGGCTGTTTATTAGGAGCTGGGTGAGGGTGTTGGTCTGTGCCCTGATAACCTCTCCTTAGGGCTGCCCAGTGTCCTTATA